ACCTGAAGTAATTTAGCAAATGGTAGATAGCAGTGGAATCCAGGATGCTCACTTTGTCCTCTTATAGACTCGCCAGCTTGGTGTACCTGCATTCCACATTCAGTGATGGTGTTCCTGAAGAGGCTCAAACCCAGTAAACATCGTTTCAAACGCCACAATATTATCCACAAAACCACATGGGCAAAGGTGGATAAAGTTTTGTAGTTTGAAAGGATGGTTAATAGATTTGAGTTTCACTTTGAACACCATCACTCAGTAGGGGATGAGGGCAAATCCATCTGACAAGTCCTAAATAGGATGGAATAGGCGTTCTGGATTCCACTGCTAGTCACCATCCATCAAACAACATTAAATTGATTGATGTTCACAGCTCAATTATATTTTAAGACAAAAAAATAAACATTTGCTGGGTACATCGGAATTGAAGATTACAAAAGGAAGATTATATGTACGGATAATGGATATCGGAAACTAGATCAGACATAGAAATATTATTTCTTTTGTCTGAGGCTAAACTCATCCAGGAATCATCTAGATTCAGTTGGCTCAGTCGTCCGGATCATGCTAAAAACATCAGTATCTGTAAGATTAGATTAAATCATTCATTTGTAGGCCTCTGTAAGGAGCAAAATATAGACATAAGTATGTACAAAATATACTCGCGTGTTTTCGTTTATCGAAAAAGTATTTTAGAAGCATTTATTGATAATTTAAATCAAATTGCCTACTTTTCGTACCATACACTTATGCTGAAATTAGTTTTAACCTCAAGTGTTTGTGTCTGCATGGTTCGATATGGGCTAGAGTCATGGTGGGTAATCCGGAATAAAGGACTATAACTGAACACCTTATCAACACTTGTCACAACATCTCAAATACCTCAACACTTAGAGTCATTTACCACAAAAAGTAGAAATCGACGGAAAACAGTATATTTCCGACTTCTTTATATCGCAGTAGCGTTGGCCGTATGAATCGACAAACTGTGGCTAATGCAACATGTATATCCACTACAGATCCAGTATGTTTTAGTACCTTTTTCCATCTGCAGTTATAAAAGATATTACTTCAAATTGTTTCAATGCGGATGGTGTTCACACCTGTATTCAGTAAAAAAGGAACTAATTTAGGTATTAGACAAGTGTATGGCAACACCCTTGTCTCTTGTGATTTATGTTCATCTGCCATCACATCTGAGAACTTTCATATCGAGTTAAAATTGTTGTTCTCTTTAAACCTCATCTTCGTCAGTATGTCGAATTAAATAATCATTGTAACTATGCTAACCTATATATACATATATGTATTTGAGAAAGTCACCATTACTCTACCTCACTTCCCAGTTAAGGAATTTTTCGATAAAGGGATTTGCTTCATCACTCACATATTTTAACTCCTACTTGGGAGTAGCCAATCAGATGTTAGTGTAGGTGGTTGCAAATTATTATAAATTATCGTAATATTTATTATCTTTTTATTATGATTTCAGAAATTATAAGCTGGTTATGTTGTCCATTTGCAGACTTGGTGAGTAATACTCGGTAGAGATTTTTTATTTATTTATTTTTTTTGAAACTGAAATTTGCATATTTTTGAATGGATTAATTTTATCGTGGAAACGGATCAGTTTTGTGTAATGCTGAGGAACTACGTATATATATATATATATATATATATATATATATGCATATTTCAGGTTAATCATCACGAAACTGTAGCAGTAAGTTACAGTGTGGTAAAGCGCTTGCCCCGCACACTTAATTGATTGACTTTGAAAATTCGGTGCATAGCACAAATAGCTATCCTGATGTCGCACAAGTTGTCATTCAACCAATAAATACTACTGTTTCAGCCGTTCAATCAAAATGTTTTAAAAGTCCTTCAGTGATATCATGTACATATCTGCTATGTCAAACTATGGAATAGAGAAGAAATTTATTGCAGAAACTGGGTTAGCCAAGAGGATTTGTGCATTATGGCAGAAATTTTTCAAAAAAATATAAGCTGTAGTATTTTAAGTTATTCTTACAGTACCATGTAAAACGTAAGTAATCGTTAAGTAAAAAAATAACCTGCACTTAGTGGTACAACACTGACCATTCAAAGTGGGAGTAGATTCACCCCTGTAACATACTGGTTAATCATCAAGTACCTACTTCATCCAGCCACTTTTAACTTTTAGTGTACAGTTTCGTTAAAAAAAATGCACTCTCCATTTTTCCACACTTACAGTTGACAGTTGAAAATACAAGATGACAGTGTATGAAAGCTGTAATTCAAAATATTTAATTATAGCATAGAACTTCACTTCTTATTGGATCAGATTTACCTGTGGTATAGGACATGACCAAAGAATAGATACCACAACAAAATGACCTTACACCAACCAATCAGATCTTTCAGTATAACAAATGAGCGCTTTTGATAATCTCCAATGCGAGTTTTATTCTGATTCAAGGTGAGAGTTATGGTTAACGTTAGGGTGGAACTTGGAACGAAGATTATGGACAGCTTTCACTTAAAATGCTTAGTGACGCAGTCATCATCATTAGGTTACATTGACAATCAAGTCAGTCATTCATCAGAATAAGTGGATTCTTTAACTGGTATTCATACAAATTCTATTGAAGGCTTTTTGGCATATATAAAACGACGGATCAGAATGGTGTGTTTCTATAACCACCCCTAAGAAAAAGTGAGATTTGATTTTTCAGCATATAAGAGACATTTACTCCATATTATTCATTATTACATGTATAAACATATATGTACCTATCTTGTCAATATGCCTTTTTATCATATAAATGTCATTTTGTACCTAGAAGAATGTGATAAGTTGGTTGAAGGTCATTTGGCTGTAGTATCTATTCTTCCCTGTTGCGCCGTACAGTAGAAGATTTTTAGCTCTTACAGTTTCCTGGCACTGCCATGAAAATAGTGGTGTACATATTTCTGATTTTTTGAAGGGAGAATGAACCAGTGGTGTATTTCCCGAGGGTGATTGTTTTGTCTTGTGACTTATAGCTGTTGACACTGAATGATCATTCTATCAGGTGTGTTTAAACACATGATAATAATCATGATAGTTTTAAAGACTGACTACATTACCTAGAAACCATATCACCACCACCACCACCACCATTTCTCCCAAAATTTTGTTTGTCTTGAGTCTTAGGTAGAGACTAATAACACAGAAGACATTTTTAATCTGACCACTGTGTTTCAAAGTAATTGTTCGTATTTACTAAAGCTGCCCTGCAATGTGGATTATTTCACTAGATGATTTTGTGAAAAGTGCATTAGCAAAGCAATGATATCCTCAACCTCCCCCGATTTAACAGTCAGTAGTAATCCCAGAAAAAATGGATGATGGGGCTTCAGAATAACGACCTAATCGTGTGAATATAACATAGACGTTACTGAAACTTCTAATAGCTTGAAGTTCTATTTTGTATTCGGAACTTAAAGAAATGAAAAAGAGAGTAGAAACACCATGAGGTTTTGGAAAGGTCGATACATTCACTTGCGAAAATTTGTCATCAATAGGTAAAACTAATCTACAGTCTGATGGTATAAATATTGATGTGCTTTTGATATTAACCTAAATTTGACTGTCTATTTACGAGTATCATCACAGTCATTAAGTAATGAGCAAATCAGTTATAAAACCATAGACACAGACGACTACAATTTTTCGATTGATAAGGAATTAACTGATTTAAGAACTGGTCTTATCACAAAAGTGATGTTGACACATAAGCTTTGATAAGCAATTGATCATTTAAATCAATTAAACCATCCAATAAAGTACCAATGAGTGTTGAAAAGTATAAACGAATGAAGTGAAATTTACTTGTTCTACGCATAAGGTCGTCCCTAAGATAACTGACTTGTTAACTTACTATCACTCAGCAGCATTCAATGTAGGTGTTAGTAACGTGTTTCAAACAACCAGGACTTAATGGCTCATAAAACCCGCTGTCACATTTTCAACAGTTCATCAGGTAAATATTGCATATCCTTGGTGTAAAGCGCACTGTCATACAAGATCAACAATTCAGCAGTTCACTAAACAACTTCAGATACAGACATCGTCAAACAGCCAGACAATTTCACATTCAAAACAGGATTAGATAGCCTGTCAGTCATTTATTCAAGTATTTCCTTTAGACATGTCCAGATTTTAGTTTAAATACTTCATGCTTATTTTGGCGGTAATCTTAATAAGCATACTGGGTAGTCAGTTGCAGTTCAAAATAATCACATATCTTTGTTTTTGGCATTAATTTCCTTGTTGTAGTCATTTTTTCTCTTTTTCTTGAGATTGTGTGTTTGTGACTGTGTGTGTGTGTGTGTGTGTAGATAAAAACAACTAATTTCGTGACATGACAAAAAAATTAGCCTCAAATTTCATATGAATTATTATGACTACGATGTTCAATTATTTCATATGCATATAGTACATGTGTAAATCTATGATACTAGTAAATCACAGCATGATTGAGGATTGCGTGGGCGTTGTTGTATTATTAACTGTACGTGAATCATAACTAGGTGCCACTGCTACAGATACTACCACTATCAGCTTAGTGAAAATTGTAACGATGAGTCATCCACATCCATGTTACATGAATCATCGTCTAACAAATGTAACCACCTTAGAAAAAATATCGTGATGATCAATTAAGGAACAAATAAAAATCCAACTTAATCGGTGGATGGTGACTAGCAGTGGAATCCAGGATAACGCGCATTTCGTCCTATTTGGGACTCGTCAGTTGGATGTACCTGCATTTTTCAGTGAGTGATGATGCTCCCACCGAGGCTCGAACCCAGTGCCCATAGTTTCGAACGCCAAAGCGTTATCCACTAGACCACTTGGGTCACAACTGAAATAAGCATTTAGTTTCATCTTGTTGACCTCTGTTGCCTGAAGTATACTTTTAACAAGGTGACATTCAAGCGGATTGCTTGAAAGCTAATACTGTTGTGATTATTGGCCGAACAATGTATAACTAAAGACAGTCTATATGTCTAAAGCATTAAAACACACTAATTTAGTCGATCAAAGTACCATACTGTGGAAGAGTGTAATTTTTTGAGGCTTGAAGTGTTTTGCTCTTGAAGTAGACATATAAGCTTGAAATTATGCTTAATGGTTTGGGAGTATTTTGTTGACAAATAATTACCGATAAACTGCTTCGGGGAGAGTTTCGTCAATCACTCCTAACTGCTTTCCTCTCTAGGCGTTTAAATCAGTGCTGATACAGTAAGCAGGTAAAAATTGGTTGAGATTGTGTCTTAACCCTTTTTTCTGTAATATTCATTTATCCCCCTACCTGGCTGGTTAATGGCAAAAATACAAAACACAACAACCATTCGAATGTTGGTTTGGCTTTTTCATTTATTCAGTCGATAAAGTGGCCTTTGCTAAGTTGACTTTTTCAATGTAGCGTTAAATTTGAATCTGTAACACATCGCTGGAAGTGAATCGTTTTGTGTTCTCCGTTGTTTTTGTTGTTTGTTTTTTTTCTTTTGAAATTCTAAGTATAGTTTTATCTACTGTCTTAATCAGTGAACATTAGAAATAAAAATTGTTTCGTTTGATTTCGGAATTCGAAAGTGATGAGGGGAAACTGTGATTTGTTCAAGCTTATTAGCATTACAATGTTGTACTTATCTAAAGGAGGCTTATCAAACTCTGTCAATAATAGAAAACTCGTCTTACGGCTGAATATAATTAATAAAATAAACTATTTATGCTGAATGACCATCATTTTATGCTTTCATTAATAGAAACAAATGCTGGAAGTGCTTTCAACACTTCTAAGATTACATTTGAAATTTAGAATCTCCCATAATCAGATATTATTGCCTCATTACTTCGTAAAGTTTTTCTCAAAACTTCACAAGATGTTTGGTTGCATGTGTCTGAAGATCGATTTTTGTTTTTATTTTTCATATCCAAACTGAATAGTGTTCACAAATATGTTTTACGAGAAGTCGATACATCCCGCTTAATAGGAGTAAATAATCTAGTGTATAAATAATAATATGACCTGATACAGATCTTTGTTTGTTCAGCGTTACCTAGAAGTCCAGTACACCACATAATTTTAGTCCCAGTACATCTAATGGATGGCGTTGCTTGCAGGGTGACTTTAGACCATCACTCATTGTCGCCAATGCTGAACTCTCTCAGAGATCGTGACAATCATCATTTTAAAAAACAATTTGAATGAATTTCAGCTTGATTTCTAGCAGTAAAATCATTTTCTGTATCTACATGCAGATGTGCATTTTTGAGGTGGATACCAATAAAAAATATCCGCATTAATTGCTTCTTGTGTCAAGTTTATCAGTTCACCTGAAAGAAAATTCAGTGTCTACTCCATGTTCAGCGGTGAACTCATGAGTTGTGAACTATCGCATTGTGAAAACTCTCCTACATCGGTGCGTTAGTGTGTCGATGGCTCAATGGTAGAATACCGCCAATCATGCCTCTCTCAGCCCGATGTTCGATTTCC